TAATATATAGAATTTACTGTTTAATTTCAATCATTGTTAGTCGTTTTGTATTGCGTACTACCTGTTCTAACGTATAGTGCGGAGACGCTAACATTAACCAAGAAAACTAAGCAAAATCAGAATAACGCAAAGAGCAATGGAAAGATCAATGTTGGGGCTATCTTTGAGAGACGAAGTACCGAATATCGAAGTACGAGACAGAACAAAAGTCATGGAAACCATAGAGAATATAACTACTTTGAAATGGAATTGTGCAGGGCTCATTGCAAGGCTAAACAATGACCGATGGACGAAGAAAATATAGAATGGAGACCAAGACATGATGCATTCAGGAACAGAGACCGTCCTCCAACCAGATGGCGTGACGACTTAAGGCGTATCCACAGTAACTGGATGTAAATAACTCAAGATAGGGAGTTATGGAAGCAAACGAGGGAGGCCTACGTCCAGCAGTGGACTATATTATAGTGGCTGGTTGATGATGATGATGATGATGAATCGTTTTGTATAACATTATTATATGAAGACTAATTATTCATAATAATAATAAAAATATGTAAAAACACCGGATTATGGTTAATAGAAGAAATGACTGAAAACAAGTATTATTAGTGAAGAAACAGTTTATCTATTTTATCTTCTTCATCATCGAGAATATCAAACTATTATTATCGTATTTTAAATGACCGTTTCTGTCTTATACAAACCTGATTAGTTTAATTAAAGCACCACGACGGATAATCTCGTTGATAACTTGTTCAGCCATATTATTAAATGGTCTTTAGAAATTAACTGAATTGATTCATTATTTTAGCACACTGCATTCTCGTATAATGCTAGTAATTTCTGGTTTGTTTCATTTGCATATTAGGGAGTGTTTTCTAAAACTTAAGTCTTGAATTACATGTAAAATTAATTAAAACAACATCTTGACGTTCATAACTTATTAGAGAGGAATTTTCTTGTGACTTGAGATACATGCATTAATTTTTTTTACAATTTTTAATTTGTTATTTTGAAGTTAAATATATCTGAAGATAATTATTTCAGAAATTTTTAACTCAACGGAAAGTTATCTTTTTAACGAAAATATTTCCATTTTTTTTAAAGAGCTCTAAGGGATCGTAAATAACGAAAAAGAGTTAAAAATTAATTAACCGAAATATATTCATTTTTTACTACAGCAAACAATTAGGAATATACATTTTGGCAACAAATGGACTTATCAATGTAGAAAATTAACCTTTTGAATTATAATTTTAAAAAATTCAGTCGGATGCATCGAGATGGAAAGTTATCACGTCCAGTGTTGCCTCAGTTGTCTCTGAGAATATTAGTTTGTTAGAATTAATTATTTTTGTATTTTTGAAAGAGGAGTGTGAGGTACGAGATACTAAATGACTCCTTTATATAAAAATTTATTTTTGAAGTAAAACTTCTTTACGCGCGGTAGGAGTAAAAATTCACACAAGCTAGCGAGAAAAAAACACCAAACACCAAAAAATATTTGATTTAAAGCTAAGAAAAGCATTATAATAAACTTGATACTGTACAGTACGTCTGTCCGTTCTGTAGCTACGGGATATCCGTGAGAGGGGAAACGATATTCTCTCGATGTTTTCCGTAAAAAATTAGACGACGCGTCCCATCAATAAATATTCGACAAATTTGCAAGTAGCCAATAAAATGAGTGGGCGGAGCGATTAGCGGTACGTACTCATCAAGTCGACGTATAAAATATATTTCTGTATATTTAAATGTTTTTTGTCCGCATTCCTTTCATAGACACAGATCCAGCAGATGTACTGTACCTGTGTACCAATATCCTCTAGTTGTGTCCTAGGAAGTAAATTTTCATGCATATTTTCATCGATAGGTTTGTAGCTTCTGAATAACGGTCTAGGTAAAGCATCTAGCTCAGTTGCCAGCTTAGAATTTGATTTATTAGAGTTAGTAACTCGCATTTTCATTGGAGGACACTGTCATATTTACTTCATCAAACCAAACCAATAATCAACGAGAACATTCGTATAATTTAACAAAATTACTGTAAACTACTATAAATACGAATTGTTGGTTAGGTTCAATTTTTTTTCTCTTAAATAAATTTAAGCGTTAAGAGAAATATTGTATTTAATATTTATAGTATTTATTTCGGCACCCATAAAAGAAATATGAATAAAATCCTAAGGTTATTAGTTGACATTAATAAACCCACTGGATGAACATGTCAGTGTCATAAGAATTTTGTAAGCAAGTATAAAAGTTGTCAAAGCAAGTTATCAATTAATTTGGTCATAAAGCTTTGGCATCATCGCATGTTACCCTCCACAACCAACTCGCAAGTTCGGATTGTTTTCCGTCCTTTTCTTCGTTTCGCACTCGATAGAGAGGCGGAGCGGACACGTCGCGTCGTTGCCGTAGGCGATTCTCGATAAGCCAATTAGACTCGCCACGACGCGTAAAGCCGGCAATACACGCCGCTATTATCCGGCAAATCTATTAACGAGACATACAAAGAGTTCAAGGGGAAACGTCCCGAGCCGCCAGGTGTATAGAGCGCTGGTCATTTCAGATCTTTTGAATTAATTACAAAATAGTCTGTTATGTATTTGAAAGTATAATAATAAAATGTTCATATTTTTGTGAAAGACGGCTGATTTTAGTTGATCTATGTTTTGTTAAAAGACTTTATCCAACGCTTTATTTTCATGCTCTTGAGCATACTTGCTTTTCGCTCTTTGGCCAGAGCATTTTTTGTACCGAATGTGTTCGGACATTACTCTTAACTATCGAATGCTATCAGACGAACTAAAACCGCGTCTTTTGATTTGAAAATGTTTCCTGTAGTTTCTACTAGATGAGCAGTTTTCATCATGCCTTCTTCTCTTGGCGATTTATTTATTATGGGGTATATATGATTTTTTTTAGTCCAAAGTATTGAGTGTAAAAAATCAAGCTCGGAGGAGCCCAAAGTATTGGAATAGTTAGAACGTCGATTTGAATATGAAACTGGTAAAATCATCATCATGATTTTCAGCTTATTCAACCATTTCGAAGTATGGTTATGTGTCCCTCTCGTACTCTCTTTGTAGTTGGTCCCATTGTTGTCTATTGTTGGCTATGCGGGCCCAAGTTATCCCTGCTAGTTTCCTAATTTCGTGATCCAATTTCAGGTTTGGTGTTCCTCTGGGTCTCTTAGTTTCTCGTAGGTACCATGCAGTAATTTTTTTGGTCCATCTGTTGTCCGTTCTTCTTGCCAGATGTCCTGCCCATTGCCATTTGAGGGATTTGACTCTGTGGATGACATCTATTTCTATTTATATAGAAAAAAAAAACAGAAAATTATAAAGCTAGAATAGTATGCGGTTTTATAACTCTAATTTTTTTGAAGTCTATGAAAAACATTCATAAAAAAATATATATACTTCAAATCATTTTATTCCTAAATATTTTATTAAATATTTTTTGAGACGGTAATGATAATAATGCAAATAATCTTATTTGTTAGTAATCGGTTGTGATTTCCATAACAATTGAAGGTGGTCAGCCATGTTTCCTTTATATCCCTATCATTTCAAGATTGAACCGATCGAAATTGATATTCCTTCATGTCACGTGCGGTCTTTCCGCCGGCGATTTTGCGTGAAATGGCGCCAAATGTTGATTGATCGCCAGGCGCTAGTTGACGCCACGCTATAGGCCGTTTATTTAGCCACCTGACCACTTCCAATAATAAAATAGAGCATCGATAGCCTCGCCATACTATTATATATCCAACACCCTAACTTTCTATTTAAATTTCGTGATGATTCACTCTATCAGGCGCTGTTGATCCACGCGGCGGTATTTTCCCTACATTATACATACTTTAATAGGTAGATATTGGCTGTTCGCTTGTTGCCTATCGATTAGTTTCGGTCACACCGTCATTTTGTCAAACAGATAATGCGATAGTGTTTGTTTTGATGCGGGCCGTGCTCCTACACGCTAAGGTTTAATCGACAACACGTGAACGTATTGAACGCTATTTTATTCGGGTGCTATAAAGACTTTATTGAACGCCTGTAAACATGTACAACGCAGTTGTGTTACTAGGCTGTATTTCCTTTAAAAATGACTAAGTGTTATCGATTCGAACACGTGTTATTTTAAACTTAATTAGGCTGTAAGTATGTATGTAGGACAGGAAACTTAAGATTTTAGATTATTTTCAATAGAACGAATCCAATTTATTAATTACTGTTACATTACAAGCATTAGCAAGTTTACAGAGTGGTCCGAACTGTTTTCCGGAAACTTTGGCAGCATATTCTGCAGATAAAAATAAGTAAAAAAGTTCGTATAAATGTATGTCCTAAAATGCTTAGTTTCGGAGATACGAGGTGTAGAAGTTTCATTTATATTTCGATTTTTTCCAAATAATTTCTGAAGTAACGTCAATATTTGGATAAAAATTGGTATCTGGGAGTTGTTTGACATGAGAAATTTGATTTTGATGTCAATATCGACATGATGCTAGAGTTAAAAAAGAGTTAAATTTTGATGTCAATATCGACATCAAAAGCAAATTTCTCATGTCAAAAAACTCCCAGACATCAATTTTCATCCATATATCGGCGTTACTTCATAAATTATTTGGAAAAAATGGAAATAAAAATGAAACTTCTACACCCTCTATCTCCAAAACTAACCATTTTAGGACATACATTTATACGAACTTTTTTATATAAATAACATAAAAACCGACTGAAAAATAATACTTTTGAATTAAATTATAATAATTATTTTGTAATATATAAAAGTATATTTTTATTTCATTTGCTGATCTTAATTTTAATTTTATTCAGGATTACTATAAAACAGAGATAAAAACAAATATTTATTTTTGTATTATACTTGTGGTTTCTTATCTGAACCAGTTTTTCCTATTTCCTTATCTTGTATACATTTCTGACAATCCCATCGATATTTTTAATATTATTGTTTTTTGTTTGCAGCAAACACCAACAGCGCTACCGATTTGTTCAGAGTGTTTAGGAACAGAGTCAAAGAATAAGAAAGGACAATCGGAAAAATTAAGTGCCTGTTCCGAATGCGGATCTCTAGTTCATCTTAGTTGCACCAAGGCAGGGCCTGAGTTGGCTGTCCTGCTTGCCAAGGGCGGTAAATGGTTTTGTGAGGAATGCAAAGTGTGCGACGGATGTGGTAAATACAGCGCTTGTAAATTGTCAGTTATGAGTATAAAATGGTTGTTTTGTAGGTAATTCGGGGATTTCAACTTGCCTGCTCTGTTGCTGCAGTTGCGAGAGGCAATACCACATGGGCTGTTTAGATCCGCCTGCAGAAAAGAAACCAAAATGCCCCTGGCGATGTAAACATTGCCTTAGTCATCACGACAGCGTAAGCAAGGCCCAGAAAAAAGAACCAGGCAGCGCTGTGAAGAAAAAAATCGACAAGTTCAGAGAAAAGAAACAAGAAACGTACTTATATATTTTTTTCTATATTATATTGATATCTTAATGTTGATTATTTTCAGGTGCAATGAAATTCTTCCGCCAGAAGTAACGCCGGACTTACCTGTTTCAACCAGTACACCCACCGTGAAAACGCCCTGCCGAAAGAGTCGAGCGCCTTCAGCATCAGCAGTAAGCGAAAGCGAACACAGTGACAGTCAGGGTACGCAAAATCCTAATACACACTCCCGTCTTAGTAAGAAATCTCCTTTACCTTGTCCCAATCCTAATACGTCCACCGATCAGGAGGCCACAGACCAATTAGACACTCCCGATAAAATGTCCAAGGAGAAGCAGAACTTTTTCAAAAAATCCGCCTATAATTCCGGAAAACGCTCCCAGAGGATAAAGGAGACGAACATGAAAAAAACAGTCGCGAGTGAGCCGGAAAAAGAGGTCAAAGAGGAAGTGAGTAGGAGGAGAACAAGGCACGAAACTAATATCAGTGAGAAAGATAACATTAAACCTAAAGCCAAAGTTATACCTAAGTCTAATACCGCCGTCAAGAAAGAGGTTAGGAATGGAAGTATAAAGAGCAAAGATGTCGCGCCGCCGAAAAAAAGCCAAAGACTTAAAGCTGCAGCTTCAGCGACAGCCGAAGCGGAACGTGGGACCTTACGACGGAGTGAGAGGGCTGAAGCTAAAAAGAAAGAGCAAGAGAAACAGACTACTGAGGAGGAGGACGAGGAAGTTGTTGAAGAAGAGGAATCCGATGAAGACTCTAGTTCTGAAGACGATGAATGTTTAAGTAGTTCGTGCGAGTCTGATTCGGCGCAGTCTGATTCTTCCGCGGATAATTCTCAGTCCGATTCCAAGATGCGAATGCAAAAAGTGGTGTTACCCGTTAATACTTTTGGTGAAAAACACGACACGTTCGGTAGTATAAGTGGTATTAATATCGATAATAAAGACGCTCCGTGGGGTTTCGCAGCGGCGGCTCAAGGGGTACAAAAGGCGGACAAAACTGAAAAAAGTGAAAGCAAGAACTTGTTTACCACCCCTACAGAGAAAGTTACGTTGTTCGACAAACCGATTGAGAAGAGTTCTGACGAAAAGAAACAACCCCCGCAAGGACTGGGACAGTTGAAGGGATTGTTTGACGGTTTATCTCACTTTTTCACCGCTCCGACGCAAAACAGAGCCAGCCGGTCACATCCGAACTACAACCCGAACAAACGCAAGCCGAAGGATGCTTCCCCGAAGGAGGAAGAAAAAGACGTAAAAGGGAGCATTCCTGTCCCTTCCACTCCTGTCCTTTCCCATCCGGCCATGTCTCCTAGCGACCTAGTTAAGTCGGCAGTTAACTCACAAGAGCAGGAGGCGGAAAGGCGCCAAACCATCAAGAGCGAGGACGTAAAGACGGCCAACGCCGCCGCCGCCACTGGCGATAAGTTGCCGACGCCGGCCAAAAGGCGTCTCCAGCAGCAAGGGCCGCCGCGCACGCCGCTGGCCTGCAATCAGACGGGTAAGATCAGAAGCTGTCGGGGTTCGCCAGCCAGCTTTCTCTCGCCAAAATACATGTATCAAATACAAATAAATTCGGTCAATTAATCGTAATAATATAAATATCGACAATCTAATCACCAGGGCATTTTTTAATTTCCAAATTGTAATAAAATTCTTAATATCAAATTTCTCTTCACAATCATATTTTTTGCATTGTTCATTTAATTAAGTGGTTTACTCCCTTGTTTATTGCGGTTGTCGATAAGAATATTCTTTTTTGATAGAGAAAAGGATTTTAACCCTATCTTGGCCTGTGATGGATTTTTGACAGTTTCTTATTGTTTCTAACATTGTTTTCATTGAATCATATTGTATATTTGGCAACATTTAATATACATATATTATTAATATTTCAAACGATAGTACATGTAAAGATATGGTAAAACAAAACAAGCTTTTGAAGTTTTTTTCTTAAGCTTCATTCAGAACCTCGCAATTAGTGGAATAAATTAGTGGTTTCAATTAGCGTAGAAGTTTGTTCCTTTAATTTCAAGTAATCATTCAGAACGTCAAAATTAGCGGTAGACATTTTCAATTAGTAGAAAAAGTTACCAAACTTTTAACTTTTATTATTTTGGCCTTTGATTATCTTCCGTCAAGAGAAATTGTGGTTAGAAATTAAAAGTTGATTGTTTTATAAGCTAAATATGAGGAATTTTCTATAAATACAACTGACTACTGCAAATTGTTACTAGGATATTCTATTAATTTTAATTGTGTTTTTTAAACATTGTGAATGATCGTAAACTAAAAAGTATAGAGTGTAATTGAAACCCACTCATTATTCCACTAATTACGAGGTTCTGAATGAAGTTTTATTAATTTGATATGAAAAAAAAAATAAAATATAGTTGAATTTTCCTAAAGTCCTAATATTCAAACCGCGTTTCTATGGTAATATAATTTCGTTTTCATTCTTTGGTAGATTATTATTAATAGAATTTTAATTAATGCCATATTTTTTGCTGTTTTAAAATGTTGAAGAGGCACACAATTTATTTAGTTCAATACTAGGGTAAGGGTGATAATAATTATCGGAAAATGTGATACTTTACAACAGCAAAAAATATGAATCAAAATTAATAACTATCTATCAAAGAATGAAATCGAAGTTATATTACCATAGAAAAGCCTTTTGATTTTTAGGACTTAGGAAAAATTCAACCATATTTTCAAGTTTCTTTTAATTTTCTCCAAAACGGTATGAAAATTTTGAAAAGTATAAACAGGATAAATAATTTTAGAATAAGAAATTTTTTTATTTTTTCTCAAAATGTCAATAAAAGCGTTTCTCATTTTGTGACAAACCGGCGACATACTGTATATTGTAATTAAAATATTACTAAATTATATGGGCTATTTTGCATTATACCATACCTATGATCTAAAACGGCACCAAATTATAGTTCTACATACATCATCAATCGGCATTTCTAAGGCAACAAGATGACGTTTTTTGGATCATAGGGTATATGTCAGGGTTGTAGTTGAAAATGCAAAAATAAAATCTTATTCATGTGATTACAACTTGGCTGAATTATAATGATATTTCTTTATTTTTGGTACCCGGTGGCGTAGAGGTACAAGCTGTCGTCTACCAATCTCAAGGTGTGGGTTCGATTCCCACACCCGGCATTTCATCAGCCGACTATTTTTATTAAAATAAAAATAGTTTGGGTACCTAGGTAAACTCAGCCTTAAATGAGTACTTGGGATTCACAATCCTGAGGTAATAGGCGGTTGAAGCGTAAGTGCTAGCCACATTACCTTCCTTGTATACCGAACGGCTCTAGTATAGCAAGCTGTACCTTGCTACACCCAAGGCGTTAAACGCTATATACGGGAGCTATTATTATTATTTCCTTATTTTCTATAACATTTATTCATTTCAGTATTACTACTATTTATTTTTTAAACCACTTGAATAATTATCAAATAATGATATATTTTTATGATTATTTATGAATTATATTATAATATACAATTGAATACATGTATTTTGAATATATCCACGCAATGTTTAACTAACAGTCATATGTTGTAATCATTAACTAAATGTCAGTCATTGATAGCATGTCACTTCTTGTTGCACCCCCTCATGCTGGTTTTACCTGGTCTGATTGACCCCTTGAAGTGTGTTAATATGGCTATAGAGTTGCATTTAGCTTTTTTATTACAAGGTTGTGGTTTCAGTTGCATGATTTTTACATTGGTTACCCCATCACAACATCATTACAACTCATTTTAGTGCATGGTACTGTTTTCAACCTTTATTCCTTATCACCATAATTTGTGTTCACTTATAACTATTGCTTTAACGTGTAACTAACTATGTAAATTTATTTGTTAATGTTGGACCACATTGCGAATGTTATTTGATGCCTACTGTGGTGACTTTTTCATTAGATACCACGGTACTTTTTGCAATATAAAGTCTCTCTAACGAAAGAAGAGACGATTTCGTCAGACGACATCCAAAAACTGACAGAAAAATCAATCTACTTTTGAATTAAAATGACTGACTACAACTGTTATTGTCATGAATTCTTTCCTTATATTATAGTCAGGTTTCAGACCATACAACTATTCTTAAGTGGTCTAAGGTATATTCTGTCATAAAATAGGATTTATGACAATGACAGTTATGTCTTGACATTTTAATTCAGAGATATATTATGTTTTCTGTCATTTTTTGCAGATACCTTTATACAATCGTAACAAATGAGTTTTTTTTATTACTGAGTTGTTGGAAAAAACTATATGCCGGATTTCCTCAGCTTACACAATAACAAAAAAAATATTTTAACAAATGAGACAGCTATCATAGAGACATATTACAAAAATCTTCTACATGTTTGGCAAAAAGTGGGGTTAAGTGACAAAATATTGAAATAAGAAGACAAAAGTTGTTCAGAATTTGATTCTACGTGTATGTGTACCAAGTTTCATAAATATACAAGGACTTTCAAAAAATATCAGTTTTTCCATTTTTTGGGGGAAATTAAAAATTGTACTATTTTTTTTTGTTAGCATTACAAAAGACAAAGACAAATCTAATAAATATAATTTATAATACAGTTACTCTCCCGCAATAAATTGTAAACAACTAAAATGTTAATTCTCAGATTACCGATTTTGTTGCAATGGCCAGTGGAAAACAAACATTTTAAACTAACACATTCAAAGTAACTTTAGAGGCTTTTTAATTGATGGTATTCATTCTAGACAAAAGTCAGTATGGTAGTTTTAATCATATTTTTTTTCTACATATTGTATAAAGTATTATTCTTGTTGGATTTATTTCGTTTTTGTCAATTGTCATTTTCCACAAAGTCTTCAATAACAAGAGTCGCAAAAAATCCCATTTGTAGCAGACTTTTGAGCACATTCTGTATAAAGCTGAAAATTCATTATTCGAGCATAACAGTAGTATGTGGTGAAACATTGCTTATTTACATTTTATGTTTATATCCTATAACTTTGTTCTACAAATAAATATTACTTTGTTTTATTACAGAAGAAATGAAGACTCTACAGCTGCCACCTGGCGTCAATCAGAGAGACCTGGATCTTTTCAAGGAAGCTCGGGAGAAAGCCAATGCGGCCACAGCAGCCATTCTACAAGCTGCCGAACTTGCCAATCAGTGCAATGTACCCGTTTCGCCGTCAAAACTGATGCACGAGCAGCCTCGCAATCCCGGAGCCATAGAGTTCGGAAAGTACGAAATTCAGACTTGGTACTCTAGTCCTTTTCCGCAGGAATATGCCAGACTACCGAAACTGTTCCTGTGCGAATTCTGCTTGAAGTATACTAAAAGTAAAGCCGGTAAGTTAGAGACTAATAACTGAAGCTGAGAAGCATTGAATAAAGGGACTAAGGAAGAAGTTAAATAATATTTTACTAAACTTAATCATACATTAATTAGAACGACAGCTACATCCATCTTCGTACGTTAGGACTAGGTCGTGTGTTTTCTTCAAGGGTTCCTAGGAACAATTGGGATGATGAAGACCAGCTTTCATACCATCTACGTTATCGTCCAGGTGGTCGAGATGTGTTTGATCGTTTCTCTTTAGCAATTTTCGCTAACTGGTCATTGCCATTCTGTCCACATGGTCACTCCACCCTCTTCTCCTGTTTCTTGCCGGTCTTACTACTTCCAGCGTCCAGCTACATCATAAACAAATCCATAATCTTTTTGATAGGTTTGTTTGACTTCTTGTTTGTTTTATAATTGCCTTATGACTTGTATTGCAATCATGTTCTTGTCAATCTTCAAAGAGACTACAAATATTTGTATTTGCACAGCGTGCTGTACATTTTAAAATGAGACAAAAAATGGCATGATACATGTCTTCTATACGGTATTGCCAGATTTTCCATAAAACTCAAGCTGGATTTATAAACTCGGCAGTTGAAGTTCAGTTGAGGTTCAGTTAACCTTCAAAATGTTCAACACTATGAAATGAATGCGCGCATTTATAAAGTCAGTTGGTCGAAAAGTTGGCAGTTCGTTTTACGAAGTTCAGTTAACCTTCAAAATGTTCAACACTATGAAATGAATGTGTTTTTTCACATTTATAAAGTCAGTTGGTCGAAAAGTTGGCAGTTCGTTTTACGTTTAGCGGAGTTCAAAGATGAACATGTTTATGTCGGCAGTTGGCGACACTGTCGATCACGTGAAGCACGGTAAAGAGAGGCGACGCCGATTCATTGGAAAATGGCCTTTATTGTTGTTTCATTATTTCTGTTAATTTAATGTTTATATTTTGCGTAATCTTGGATTACTGTGTTTGAACTTTGACAAATATCTAAAGTATTTTTAAATTGAAAGAAAAACGTTCGAAATTTTCACAATTCCAAACCTAACCTACAACCGAAACTGACAGTTTATAAATGCAAAAATATTGAACCTCCACTGCCGCGAACATCCAACTGCAACTGAACCTCAACTGAACGCCAACTCCCGAGTTTATAAATCCAGCTTAATATCAACCAAGAAAATGTTTTGAATAGTATTACAGCAGGGTAAACCTAACCTAACTTAACCTAACCTAATAATTTTGCTGCAGTATCTAAAATTTCACATCAGATTCAGATAGATTTCAAGATAAAGGTACCTATAAGTTAGATATCTTATGAGCCAGTACTATACCATTCGATCGAGGAAAAATCGGCGTCAGAGATGGCTTGGAATTCAAGATCGCTGTCATTTTGTATGTAAAATTATATGGGAACGCCTTTAGGGATTTCTAAGCCAACTGGACGACGTTTTTTATTAACGTTTTTCGCTCATATGATGTGATCGACGTACGTCACAAGTGCCTAAATATCCAATCATTTATGAAATTCGTTTTAAGCTTCATTCAGAACCTCACAATTAGTGGAATAAATTAGTGGTTTCAATTACACTTTATTCTTTTTCGTTTACGATCATTCACAATGTCTAAAAAACATAATTAAAATAAATATAATATCCTAGCAACAGTTTGCGGTATAGTCTGTCCAACGACAATATTCTTAACAGTGATAGATGTGTCTGTCATTTTAATTTCAAAGTAGTTTATTTTATTCTACAAAGAAATAAGTTGGTACAATTGGAACGCATAGCAGGAAATTTATATATTTAAAATTTGGCTGACAAGTGATTATTTCAAAATATTGTGAAAAAAACTGTGTAAAACTGAAAAAATTTAATCCAGTAATTTTATTTAAAAAAAAACCGGTATGGTGTTAATACAAAACAAACAAGAACAAAACACCACATACCAAAAAAATATAAAAAAGAACTATTTCTTACTTTCAAGCTTCAAGAAACTTCCCGCATTTATTATTAGGTATATTTATCAATATAACTTATGTACAAATACATATATACAACATAAATAAAACAAACTATTTCATTAATAATAACACTTACCAAATTTGATACCTTAAAGGTTGATTAATTAACTTTAATCTTAATTTTTTTAAACCAGTACCTTTGACATTATTTTTCTGTAGTACTAAAATCCATTATTTACCTATCGTGTGATATCGATATTTTACAGCTACTCCAGTTTTTAGTATATGTTTAGTACGATCTGGTACGATCCTTGTGCCATATACGAGACGCACTTATCTACGACGAGATGGTGTACAAACTTTATTGATGGTAACTTTTATTGGTGTATCAGACTTTCTGCATGAGCAGCGAATATTAACTATAAACTGCGCTCTGGGTCTACAGTTAATTTTCCCTCGATTTTTCCTCCACTTGACTTCAAAAGACACAAAACACACGTAATAACACGAATCAAAATGCATCATCTTCCAAAACGCAGGGTATTTGACATAAGTTGACACCAAATTATAACCTATAATTTAGCAAAACTTTGACAAACCTCAAAAATCTAAAGGCAAGTTCATGCGCATCGGCGTCCGTGTGTCGTTCATCGTTCCGTCAAACCAGTAAAATTGAAATATCATCTGTCATTTTTGAAATAAACCAATAAAACTGGTTAAAAACAACAAGAGGCGACGCATGACGTATTTATATTTAAACCCATCCATAGTTAACTTAAAAATATTAGAAACGTTTTTTTTTTAATAAAATAAATGGATTGGTATGGGATGTCATCTGCTTTTTTTCTGTCATCGTCTGTCGAAATCTTACCTGAGAAAAAAACACAGTATAGTCAGTTGTATCCATAGAGAACGTCTATATTTACCTTATAAAACACACACACACAATAAACTTTTGATTTCTAATCACAATTTCTCTTGACGGATGATAATCAAAGGCCAAAATGACATTCCTCGCGAATTTTGAAGGATAATTAGTGGAAAAGTCAAAAGTTTGTTAACTTTTTCTACTAATTGAAAAAGACTACTACTAATTTTGACGTTCTGAATACTTACATTGAAATTAAAGGAACAAACTTCTATGCTAATTGAAACCACTAATTTATTCCACTAATTTCGAGGTTCTGAATGAAGCTTTAGAGTTAACTAATTTTGTTATTATTCTTGCATTATGGCATTTATTAGTATTTGTAATAGAATGTGTCAATTTAAAAAAAAAATTGCTTGGTTGCTTCAGTAGTGTACTGTATATTTTTGTTACTAAATATTCATTATATTAATTTATTTTTGTTAGGGATATACTTTTTATAAAGCTCCATTGTTGTTGAGGTAATTTTATTGATATACTCCTGAGTCTTTTTATTTGATTTGAGCAACTAATGGGATTAAATTATTACTTTTATAATTATGAGGGTAATTTATTTCTAGTCTTGGAGCGTCATCAGGACAAATGCACCTGGCGACATCCCCCCGCAACGGAAATTTACCGCTGCAAAGACATTTCTGTTTTTGAAGTGGACGGAAATGTCAACAAGATTTATTGCCAGAACTTGTGTCTACTTGCCAAGCTGTTTCTAGATCACAAGACGCTTTACTATGACGTCGAGCCGTTTTTATTTTACGTCTTGACGAAGAACGACAAGAAGGGTTGTCATCTAGTAGGATATTTTTCCAAAGAAAAACATTGTGCTCAGAAGTATAATGTGAGCTGTATCATGACAATGCCGCAGTATCAAAGGCAAGGCTTCGGGCGATTTCTGATCGAATTCAGTAAGTTTTTCTTATCTATTCGGTTTCGATTTATATTAATACTTATTTTCTTACTTAGGTTATTTATTGTCAAAGGAAGAAGGACAACCCGGCACTCCAGAAAAACCTTTGTCAGATTTGGGGCGCGTGTCGTACTATTCTTATTGGAAATCTGTAGTTTTAGAATATTTGAATGTACATAGAAATGAAAATATTGATCTTACAGCAATAAGCAAGGAAACTGGAATGTACTGTCAAGACATAGGACTGGCTTTTCAGTTGTTAGGTTTTGTTAAAAACGTCCCGACGGAGGATGAAGGCAACAAAATATTGTTCTGTGTGGACTGGAAAAAGGTCTCCATTCACGCGGATAGGGTGGCAAAGTCAAAAACTCGAATGTATATCGATCACGAATGTTTAAGATGGAAACCTTTGCTGTCAAACGCTACCAATCAATTTCGGGAAGAAAAATCCGATAGCGATATCGAAAAGAGTGCCAACGAAACTACAGCTAATATTCTGACAGCTCCAGAAAAAATTATAATCGAAAATACTCAAGGCGTCAAATTAAAAAGGGGCAAGAAAAGGAAGGTTTCCGCCACTGTCCGAACGCCGAAACCGTCTAAGAATGAAGTGAAAACTGTCACGGTCGCGCCAGAAGATAACGCTACAGAAACACCATTGGCTGCCGAGGAGATTGAATTAACTTCTTCAGGCAGAAAGCGAACGCGACCTATGAAATTTAACGAAACCACGTATGCCGATGTTAAACCCATCAGGCACCTCGCAACTACAGCAGATAACGGTAAAAGAAAACGAAACGATTCTGAAGCTGATAAGGAGACTCCTAAGAAAACCAAAACTGACAAGCTACCAGACACTCCTGTTAATGAAACTAGAGTAGTAAAGAGATGTAGTACTCAGAAGTCACTTGTCGAAAAAGCGGATTCTAGTAATAATATAACGTCATCGATAACTAGGACAAGGCGAAGCACAGTTCAAGTTAAGGAGAAAATTGTAGGCGAACGATGGTCACAGAGAAGAGTGAAGAGACAGAAAGAACTTGAAGAACAACAAAAGAAAGAGCAAGACGTCCAAAAATCCGAAGACGTCGAGTCTCAGGCTAAATTATCAGAACAGGAAGAACCTATAAAACAGGATGAACTACAGATGATTGTTGAAAATGATAATGCGAAATTAACAACTCACTCTAATCCTCCGGATTGTGCTGTATCAACGCCGGCAATCAATACTGCTCAAGTTAAAAAGAAGCGCTCGGTGAAGAAAAAGCGAGGTAGAGGTAGGGGTATGCAAGAACTACAAAAGGGCCAGCCTACTCTACCTCAGCTTATCAAAGCAAAACTTCAAAAGGATAGCGAGAGTGAATCGATCGCATCTGAAAGGTCCGAGGATGAACGAAACGGTGGAAAAGTCAAAGAAGACGAAGCTACTGTCACGACACCAGTTACAAATAATTTGGATAAGGTTGAGAAGAAAAGACCAAAGAAAGCGACTAGAATATCTACCGAAGAAGATTCGTGTGCCGAAGCGGATGACGAAATGGAAAATGACGAATTACCTTTGCCTAAAGACTCTTCTGCTAAATATAAGTATAGAGGTACTCCTACCAAAGATGAACTGCTCAGAACTCCGCCTAAAAATAGAAGCGCCAGAGAAAGAGTAACTCCGAACAAGACGACGCCTCCTAAGTCCGGCGGCGATTCTGAGAACAGGCCGACTATGTATTCTACTACCTCTGAATCTGAGACTGAAATAGATGGTCAAAAGATTAAGTCTATTTCTCATAAGAAAATACTCGAATTATCTAAGAGCAATAGTTTTGATTTCAGTGAAACGCCCAAAGAGGAGGATATAACACAAAATGGAATTGTTAGTGATAAATGCCAGGAAACAGTTCAAGATCAGGAAACGGATAATGTAAAGAGTGGAGAAGAAAATGAAGTTCCCGACCATCAGATAACAGAGTGCAGTAGAATGTCTGTAGATATGGAAATTGAAAAAATGGACGATTCTCAGCCAATAATTGAAAAACAGTGTCATGATCCTGCACCTGACATTAATTCTGGAGAACCAGAACAGCCTAATATTTTAGAACAACCATTAGAGGCCGTAGAACCAGTAGAAGCACCAAACGTGCCATCGATAGAACCCCCGGTAAATGAAGTACCTGATGTACGGCTGAATGATGTACCAGTGAAATTAAACGATACAAGTATTTCTACTAGTTCATTACCTGATTGTAACATAGATATAAAAACAGACATCGCTCCACAAGTTGATAATAAACCTAATTCTACTTATAGTGAAGTAGCTGTAGATTCAATTACATCACAGAATAATACAATACAAAATATACCAAATGAGATTATTCCAACAACTCCGTTGGTAGAAATTAAATCCAATGTGTCATCTGTGGAGACTACTAAACCTGAGGAGACTGTTATAAGTTCTATTAAAGATTTTCCTCAGCCACAACAAACTTTGGTTCTTAATCATATTAATGAACCATTAGAAACAAAACCGCCGGTTGAGCAACCTAATAATATCAAACTTCCAACTATACAACCTAATGCTAGTTGTGATACAAAAATAGCGGCGGGTATCAATTCAAATAAATCCAATCAGTTAGATTTGCCATTAATTAATCCTAAGCCATTTACCCCAGAAACTATCATAAATAAACCAGTTGAGAAGCCAAAAGATCAAATAGTTTCGAAAAATGTCCCTAAACCATTGCAAACTGATTTAATTACAAATAAATTAAAGGAAATTATACCGATAAAAGAACCACCAAAGGAATATCCTATTAAAAACCCAGAGCAAAAATTCGCTTCAGAGAAACGAATGCCAATTCAAGATTTGCCAACAATACCTCACTTTGCACCCGAACAAAAATCAGTTATTGAAAAACCTCCTCATAAAGAAATTAAAACATCACCACCGTCTGATTATAAACACTCTGATATTCGTGATTCGATAAAGTTGAAAGAGGAACATAAAATATCTCCAAAACAGGAACCAGTTAGAACAAAGCAGGAAAAATATGATGATAAAAGATATCAACAGAAACTCGCATTTGAAGAAAAATTGGCGTTTGATGCCCAACCTAAAGTCCATATGGATAATGAGGCTCTCTTGGCTAGTGCTATGGCTTCTCAAGGGTACCATATGAATATGGCGCAATATCCTTGGCAATGGGACAGACTCTGGAGAGAGTATCCTGGATATCCAATAACACCTTTGCAATTCCCCCCTTTAGATATGCTACCTAAACAACAACCCAGTTGCGAAAAGGAGAAAAGTAAGAGATATGATTCTACAAAATATTTACAGCAGAGCAGCAGTAGTTTAAGCAAGTCAAATAAAAGCGATAAGAATCCTTCACCGAGAAAAGATGAAAAAATCAAACATAAGACAGAGTCAGACACTAATAAAATTAACACAGATCAATTTAAAAATAACTCCAGTTGTTCTGTAGTAACTAATGCACATGTCGTAGATAAACAGCCGCCAGTTTCTATGGTTCCAAATATTATGACCGCTAATGCAAAAGTGTCTAGTAAAAATAGAGAAGAGCACCATAAAATTGTTTCTGATGCTAATCAACAAATTAATCCTATTAAACAGCCACAGCAGACACAGTCAGTTTCAGACATACCACCATCAATGGGTGTATATACACCTGATTCTACTACAAATTCAGTTCATAGCTTACCTTACACTCAGTTTGATCTGGATGTTACACAGGTTGGTTTAGAATCTCCCGCTTCAATATCAAGTGACATGGCGTCTCAAAATTCGGTAGAAGTTGTGAGGCCACCTTCAGCCATTGCTTCACATCCTCCACAACAAAATCCTCTGACAAATTATGATTGCATGCAGCAGCAAAATATGCAAGCGCAAGGAGTGACTATACCTGCATCCAGCCCTAATTTAAACGCCACAATGCAGATTCAACAAAATAATCCTCAGCCATCTAGTCAAAGTCAGAGTTCATCCAGTAAGAGGCAAATGCAGCAACAACGTAATAGATCAACGACACCGTCGAGCAAACAACACAATATGAGAACTACACCGCCGAGTGCGTCTCAACAAACTCCTTCAAGTAGACAAAGGGCGACTCCTCCATCTGGTCATCAACTCCAGCATATGCAGGCTAGTCCTACAGCTACTAATGTACAACACCAAGTTATGCAACAGCAACATCAACAACAGTTACAACATTTGCATCAGCAAGTTGCAGCTGCGGCGGCTGTGCATCAAGGTTATGCTTCTCACCAGCTTAGCGCCAGTGCTATGCATCAGCATGCCCATCACGGACACCCTTCTGTTATTAATCAGACAAATTATATTCCGACTGTGACGACACAGGGATTTGCTACGCAGAGTAGCAGCACTTACGTTAATGTACCTATGTCTACTGTCATACATAATAGAATGACGCAGCAAAGTGGAATCAGCCCTTTGAGTACTCTGGGTTCGACGCATCAAAATCTCACCGCATCGCCTAGCTGCGCCGTTACTAGCGCGGCGAGCTTTTATATTCAGACCAATCCGCATACACATTCTCATACGCCAGGACCAACCGCGCCGACTCAATCTCCTAACAATTTACAAACTAATACAGGACAAACCCCATCAGGTAATTCAAGTTGTAGCTTAGCGAAACTTCAGCAGATGGTTTCGAATGGAGTGATACCGCCTACGTCTTGTAATACGATGACTCCACCTCCCACATCTATGACTCCTCCTACACATCATCCTCATCCAATGACACCGCCGCCTAGTCATCAGTCTATGATTCAGAACCAAACCGTGAGGAATTTAACACCTCCATCCGCCATACAGCAACAAGTGTTGGGCTATCATAAATATTATCCAACGAATATAAATCAGTTGAGCGGAGCTGTTACTCCTCCGATGGGACAAAATTTGGCCAGGTCTGGGCGCAATTCGGTGACAAACGTTGCAGCTATGCAACACATGCAAAACTCTACGAGCAGAGTTACTCCAAATGTTTCTCTCAATCCTTATGTTATGAATAATTCCTTGAATGGATACAGAATGACGCCTCAACAAGCACCAAGCGCCGTTACAAGTTACATTGCTAATACTCCTGCTGGTTTTATCAACAACCCTCAAATTTCGACGATGCAAATGATGAACATGGCAGCTCAAACGCAGTATCAAGATCCCGCAGCGTTGCAAAGAGCTCAACAAAATACTATGTATACCTATAGTTACATAAATGGTATTGTCCAGCCACTTAATGGGCCAATGAGGCGTTAGATGAAATAATGCTTCATACACTTTGAGATTCTTTTTACTTAGATACTTTATTTATGAAAAATTGACTGGTATATATTGTCTTGTATTTTTACAAAGTCTTATAAAAATGGAAATTATGCCTTAACAATTTGTGTTTGTTAATGTTGAAAATAATAGGGCTGTGCGTGCTGTACTATTCTTTTCACTTTTTTGTATTTTATTTGTTCGGTTGAACAAAGTATTATATTTTTTTATGATGTAAGTGTTTGTATTATAAGTCATTTATTTAAGGTAGTTGACGTTATAAAACTTTTAACAGTATGTAAGAAATGTACATATTAAGAAAGGACGAGGTCTTAATATATTTAATGTTGAAATTGTGTCCGACACTTTTTTTCGTTAACCTAAGTTTTAATAAATAATCAAAAAATTTAGAATCTAATCGTTTGATGTTGCATTAATTTTTGTATAGCACTGTGATTATTATTTAAGGTACCTAAAATTATTAAACTCTTTGCTGTAGATATTCTATAAATACCTAATATATGAGTATGTTAGTTTTTAAATCTTGTTTTTTACTCTTCCTATTTGATTTAATTTATAGGGCTTAAAAAAGTTCATAAGTGGGGAATATTTTTTGAGTAACAAAAAAATTTCATGTCATGCATGGAGGCAAATTAGGCATTCCAACTCCAACGGCCTCCTGTCAAAACATACGATATGGCTGTCAAGGTAGACATGGCCGCAGTTACTTATCGTTAAGTTGTCAATGTATGGTAAGCTAGAAAATAAATTATTTTTTTAGTGTTGAAAATTCTGATTTCCATTATGCGAAATGTGGGGTTAGGAAACATTGTTTTTTCGTGTATGGACAAAGTTCAGTTCAAAATTTCATATACATAGATCCTAACAAAGTTATTTGAAAATTAACATTTTTAGATTTTTACAATTTATTGCTAGACAGTGAAATAAAATTTCTGTATTATAAATTTTTATTAGATTGAGGGTGCATCCATACCATCCTAGAAAAAGCAGAACGGCGCACAGTGGGGTATTTGATACAGATAGTTGATCGAAATTTTTTTATGTAGACCTTATATAAATTATTGCTATTTTCAATTAAAGAGGAAATAATAGAGAACAACGGCATACGGTCGAGTCGGCCTACAAACACGTAAACGTTTACGTACGCATGCGCATTTCTTATATTTTCTATTTTTTATACACGTAAAAGATAAAAAATATAAGAAATGCGCATGCGTACGTAAACGTTTACGTGTTTGTAGGCCGACTCGACCGTATGCCGTTGTTCTCTAATATGAACAAAATAAAGGATAATTCGTCGATTCTAAAAAAAGAAAGAAAAATCACTGTTCCAGTGTTTCCACGGTCAATGCCACTAATGCCAGTAGTAATATCGCAACTAATACTACTAGTGCTATGACTGATCCGCGAGCAATGCCCATACCACTAAAGTCGTTACTAATGCCAAATTGTGCTATACTTCTAATGGCACTATTGCGATCGCTTTGTACACAACAATGCCATCGCGGTTTACACCTCGCATTAGTATATTACTGATTAGCAAATTAGAGGAAACCAAGAATGTTTTTCTCATTTTATCAGCAAAGTCGCAAAAAGTCGCAGTATTTTATTTTACTGTATGAAAGCCCAATGTTTAATAAGTAAAACGTATATAGACAATATGCTGAATTCTTCGAAATGCACAACTAAATCTCTAAGTATAATAAAAATGTCACAAATTTAATCAAATTTTCTGAACGCCTAACTTTTAGGTTTGGTTTGGCAAAAAAATTGTTATAATTTAGCCATTTACCTCTTATCTGTGAGAAGTAACAACTTTGACGTTTCGTTGAAACAAATGAATGCAACTAAACACACCCATAGCAACGCCATTCATGGCAGACATGATTTAACTTATAATTTATCTTTTTTTGGGAAATCTTAAACACATTTGCTTTTTCGAATTTCGATCACCTTTTTCATGCTAGTACCCTACCGTACGGCGCTGGCGTAACGACTTTGAATCGATTTCCAGTAATTCTATTGGCTGTAATTTTTGACAGATGAATTTTCCAAAAAGTTCAGCCAATAGAATTGCTGGAAATCGATTGAAGGTCGTCACGTTCACGTTCTGCTTTTTCTAGGATGGTATGGATGCACCCTCACATTGCCTTATGTCATATTTAAGAAAAAATATAGGTGTTTTATTCAAAAACTGATTGAAAAAGTTAATTTTTGAAACTCTGGATATTTATAAAACTTGGTTCATAGACCTAAAATCAATCCTGAACGTTTTTTGATACTTTATTACCACTTTTTGCATTTAATATGCATAAAGGATTTTTGTAATTTGCCACAAAAACAGTTGTCACAACATGCCTTCAAAAATGTTTTGTTTTGACAGCTGCAAAAATCCCCTATAATGTATTAACATCCTGTATAATGCATTTATTGGGAATGAAACTTTGAATAAGAAGATTAAGGAAGGAGCATATCAAAAATCTTAGGTGCACCGCGATGGGCCTCAAATATAGCCGACTTAAATTCCGGTTTATCAGTGCCGTTCTAATTTTATTTAACAAATGTAAAACTATGATGTAGGGTAGACTCAATAATATGTTGTATTATTCGACGTTGTGAATAAATGTTGGTAGTTATTAAAATTGTTACAAAAATATATAATTCTAATAAAAATAGATAAGTTATAATAATTATTTATTAACACAAACATCCGATACGCTACTGAAGCAGGTAAATCTGGTAAATCAAATTGACGTATCTAAATTCTTTGACATCTAATCTTTGACAAGTAGTAAATAAAAGCAAAAATGCAAGAAAAAATATATAATTAGTTAATTTAAGTGAATTTCATAAATGATCGGTTTACTACACGTATGTATATTATATAGTCACTTACTAGCGAAAAGTTGTTCCATTATTTCACTCGATTTTTGCCGAGATCTACCGCACGCTACACAACCAACTATTTTAGAGTCTTTTTCGATAAATCGCGATAGTGTCACTGTTGATTTAAGTTCTGCCACAATTTCCATCTAGATTTACTACCTTTATACAACTCTCAGTAGTAGAATAAATAATAAATAACATAAAATAAGCTCCGTAAAGACTGACAAATCCATAAAATTTTAAATCCAATTCAAATGTGTCAAATGAATCGTCAAACAGAACTGTCAAGGATCCCCACCCTAGAGTGCTTTTTCCGCCCACCATGCATGAATACATGGATAGCATTATGCTCCGTCTTCTTATTCAAAGGAATGAAATAACATCACGGTTAAAATTTGTATAACAATTTATTTAACAACTGAAATTGTATAAAAGTTTATATACAATTAAGTACAACTATTTTTTGGTTTTGCTATAAAAGATGCAAAATTATGCCTTACTAGTGATAAAAGGGTATCAATTCATTTGCTTATTGATTTTTGAAGTGTAAGTTTAAACATTGGTTATTTTCTCAAATTTTATAAAATTGCGTCGAGTTGACTTGGGGATGATGATTGATGCTAGTTAAAAAAATTGTTTTGTTTTAAATTTGACCTATACTTCTTGTTTCTACTATTACAAATATTTGTTATTAAGTACTGAAATTGTTAATTAATTTGTCAAACCATATATGTGATTATTAGATAATGAAAATACCAAATAGAACTTAATTATAATTGTTATAATGTCAAAAACAAAATATTGCTTTTTCTTTTAAATCAGAATGTAAGTATTTACATACCTAGAAATTATTACAAATACCCTGTGAATTATAAGTACCTAACTCTAGAAACCTTAAATTGTTACCCTTACATAATTTTTATTAATTGTTTATTGCAAATTATTATTTTTTAAATTGGAAGAGCACTCTGTATGATGAATTAATTAATTTAACAATTATTCTAATACATATACTAGGCAAACGGATCGAAAGTTGGTTTGCCTATGAAGGTACATCCGCTACGTTGAACTATTTGTCTAGCTGCCCAGATACCGCATTTAATACAGACGTCCAGTTCTCTTCCTTGAATATATTGTGAAAGAAATCCCCCTAAAATATTTTATAAGTAAATAAATGCCTATAAGTCTTATATCACCTATTATAGCTTTACAATCTTTCATCAATATAACATTAGTGTTGTAAAATGCCCAAGAAATTATTTTTGGAGAAAGTTTCGGTATGGAAATTTGAAATAGTATAAACGGGATTAACCATTTCAAAACAAGCAAAATTTTTTATGAATGCATTTTAGGAAATAGACAAAGAAAGACTAGAAAATAGGCAAAAAAACGAGAATTACTCAGAAAGATTCAACAACAACACGATATTATACAAAATAACGACTGACAGTAGGATAATTTTCAAATATTTTTCAAACGATAACGTTGCTGAACGCGGCGCAATGTAACCAACATAGCGATAATAAAATTCGGTTTAAACTAATTTTTCCAGCTTTAATCTAAATATGTTACATTCATTTGCTTTATAAAGTAAAATGAAGAGCTGCCCGGTATCTTAAATTATAAAACAAATTTGAACATTTTTGCCAAAATTTCATTTAGTCATTTAGTTTTATTTATAGACTTTAGTGTCAATGTCAATATGATTGATGACGTGCATCGGAAAATGTTATGCGATTACGATAGTTTTAAATCGAGCATTAAATGTTTTTCTAAAATGAAACTACTAAGGTCAACATGAATATACAGACCTGCAAACGCATCTCCGGCACCATTGGTATCAACGAGTTGTTCTGCAGGCACCTCATCAACTTTGTACTCTGTAACTTCACCATCTTGGATTAGAAGTACTGGATCAACGCCCTGCGTTAAAATGACCACTCTGGACCGTTTCTCGTTCTGTTTAGGAAGCTGACTAATCTTTATTCCTATTTCCTTCATGTCTTTGGTACCAAAATTTTGCTCTTGAGCAAACGTTTCTGCTTCCTAGAACAACAATAACTAGTGATCGTAGTTTTCAGTACATAATAAATTGTATGCAACAAATGGAAACTTAGAAAATAAATGATTGCACCCGCATGTTTAAAATAAAGTTTTATGATAGTTCCAGATAAACGAACCACCGTCGTAAGTGATTTTTAACATCACCTAAAGCTGAAAAAGTTTTTTTTGAAGAATGTACCATATGATGGTAAAAAACGGCTGGGAAATAATGATCTTTGACGTTTACCAGATAAAATCACTGAAATTGTCATTTCCAAGCCTACTTTGACACCGTATTTTGATCGTGTGGTATTTGTAGACACGCTACTTTAATTTTAACCATCCTCTATATTATATTCTTTACCATTCCCGCAATTGTAATGCTAACAGTCCAATCTGAGACACTCGGTATATCATACGACTTAGAGGAAAGATGTGCAATATATCTGTATTTATTGAAACATCTATTTTTAGTACACTTCATTTGCATAACAAATACATAAAATTATATTTTGAAATGTGTTTTCCTTGGAATACTAATGCGTAACTACTTACAAAAGTTTTCTAAAAACGCTAATGGATTTTTAAAGTAAAATATACCGGATCATTTATACATATGAAAAAAAAAATGATAGTTGGCTTACAAATGGCGATTGATGAGATTCCTTATATAGTTTTTTTATGATATATATTTTTAAATTATTACTAGAAAAACATGGAGGTATTAAAAATTGACATTTTAATTCAGTAAGAACTAAATACATCATACGATCGAAAAAACAATCGGCGTCAGCAATGGCTACGAAATGAAGATCGCTGTCATTTTATATGGAAAATTATATGGGAAATGTCATCGATCGTTATTTCCAAGCCAACTACACGCCGTTGTTTTTTCGATCATAATAAATTGTAGTGTCTGTCATTTTTTGTATATCGTCTGTCGAAATATTACCCGAATCGTTGGACAGGCCTTATACTAATGTCCAACAAATGAATATTGACAGTGACGGGAAACGAAAGTTTTTTCTGTCAAATTTTGGATTGCGTAGTATGTCGAAATCGTGGATAGACTTATTAGAAAGACCAGATATAATATATTATAGGTACCTACTGTCTTTCTCATACAAATATGTATATTATACAAAATTTATTTAATATTATATTAAGATTAATAAATAATCCTTAGTAACTTTTATGTAAGATATATTGTGTTAATCTTTCATTAAACTATTTGATAATTGAAATATACTGGGTGCGTCTCAACAGTGGCCCACCCCTATAACTTTTTTATTTTTTTCAGATAAAAAATTGAGATTCTGTATGTTAGTATATGACATAAATTAGGATTGATAGACATATTCAATTATTTTCGGTCGCTTCCTGTTTCACCGGAAATGACTACAACTTTTGATTTTTAAATGGCATCCTTGGTATTTTGTTACTTTATTTGATAGAAAATATACATTCTGAATAGATTGACATATCATATGCCAACTTTTGACATTTTCGAATATGGTTTATTTGAAATTGCTACATACGATTCATAACGACAATTTGACTCGAAATACCAAGTGTGTGGTACCAAGTTATTCGTAAAAAAATACCTTTTCTAAATATGCTAATGAGCCACCCACAATGAGACACACATTTAGGCATCTTTTAACCAACCAGGATAAGACAGTAAAAACGTTAGACGATCAAATCTATTTTCCAAGATTCCTTGATTAAAAATTAGTGTTTTTAATATAGCCATGGCGGTCTAGATTGAAATTTAAAATACAATTTTGTTGTAAAATGTCAAAAAATAAAGTTAAAAAATACCGAGGGTGCCATTTGAAAATGAAAAGTTGTAATCATTTCCGGTAAAACAGGAAGTGATCGAAAACAATTCCTAATGTCATATACTAACATACCAAATCTCGTTTTTTTATCTCAAAAAAATAAAAAAGTTATAGGAGTTTTGAGACGCACGAAGTATGTGAAAATATATTATTATTTTATACATTAAAGAATAAAATAAACGAAGAAATCTGTAGGTACCTCAACAACATTTCTCTGAATTATAAACAAGACAGAATCAAAATAAACAAATGCAATAGTAAATGTAGTATTATAATTTGAATATTTAATACACAATATATTTTAATCAATCAATATTTGGAAATATTTATCAAAAATATACTGCTAAAGACCCCCCAAAATAAATTTTATCTCGTTAAAAATTAAGCAAACTGTTGAACTTTAACCAAGCCAAACAAACTGAAATCTTACTTGTTCATTGCCAAACAGCACGTCAACATAAGGCAATACTTGCAACAAAGGTTCTTTATAAAATTGTGAAATAAAAGCAGCACTCAAATTGAAGGCAAACGGTCTATCATGTGCCAAAGCAACTTTGGCCACCTCTATTATTGATGGTGGATTGACAGTTAAGAAAAATCCCTAAAAAATAATAAATAGTAGACCTTTTAATATAGGTAAAAATAAATTTACATACAGAAACATAATAAAACTGGGCGGAGTCAATTAATTTTTTGTTTGTGCTATCTCTTATGTGATCAATGGTAAAATTATTTGCAGCTGCTAAATTGGCACACAGTGACCTGTGATGGTCAAGTATTAAAACTGCACATGTACCAGTAGGCTCCTTATCATTATATTGGTACCTATGGAAAATAAAATTTTATTTGATTTAATTTTAAGTGAAAAAAGCTAATAAGTATATTTAGTTAACATTAAGTTTCAAAGAATGATAACTGTAACATAGATAACTCACAAGCTTATTTTACATAATAATTTTAGGTAATCTTATTTTAAATTATAGTCTTAATTTTTAAATATTATATACCTAATTTAAGCATTTTTTTATACTATTTAATTTTTTTTGTCTTGTATAAAATATTGTCGATGTACTTTGGACAACCTTGTATAGTATACTTATACAAACATACCTATTAAAATCTCTATCACAATAATTTAATTTTTTTTTGCAGCCACTCTGTATTTTTAACAATGCATAAAGCTATAAATAATTTTATAACTAGGCACATTCAAAGTTAATTTAAAACAATTAAATCTACGTGATGACAAATCTATTTCTGTAATATGGACGCTTGTTAGTCAGCAACAGTAAATTAACATTCTAAAGATTGTTAAAATTATGTATCTTTAATAGATATAAAAATATTTTATTACCTTGCATTGACTCCATCCTCTGTAGCTTTATCATATAAAATTGTTGAAAACTTGTCTCTACCAACAGACCCAAAGAAAGTTGTTACTTTAGGTTTCCCTACGAGCCATTGGCATACTCTTAAAGCATTTTGAACACTCCCTAGAATAAACAATAAACATCTTTATGATAACATACCTACCTAAGTTCTATAAATATATTACTTTTAACTCAAGTACTAAGAAACTCTATTTACAAAAATTAATTATACCTCCTGCAATATAATCGGCCTTATAATTTTCTGCTAATTCAGTGTAAAGGTCGTTATGTTTCTTAGGATCTGCTAATATAGCATCATTTTCTTTCAGATCGTATTTGGTAAGGAAATCTTTGCCTACAGCTGAAGATATATCTAACAATGGATTTCCCATTCCTAAAAGTGTGTTTTCTCTGAAACAATTAAAAAAAATAACTTAAAAGGTATTAAGTACAAATATTTGTGCATTTAAATGCAAGAGTATATCTGTTGGAAGTGTTTTGTGTATTAATAAAAATACTTACAGTAGATCCTCGGTACCCATCTTTCTTTATAAATGAAAATTTACTAATAATGAACTAGTAAAATACTATAAAATCATAAAACAATGAATAAAATACTATCACCAGCCAGAAGCTTTGAAAAATAGAAAAATGTGGTTTATAGGTTATGTAATATTTCAGTATTTTGTTGGTAAGGTTGCTTTATATATTCGAATTAAACAATAACTTTGTTGTAATTATTTCAAGCATTCTTTTTGATCCCATGACTTGTAATATTTAAAGAGATTTAGTTGATATTTTCTAAGGAATAATTGTTTTTCTTTGGATGTACACTGCTTCACATAAATATGAAATTATAACTAAAACAGTTTTCTATCTTTTTTGTTATTTTATTTATGCATGCCCTTGAATTAAATAATATATAGAATATAACGAATTTGGAGAGGATTGCTAGTTATGTAAGTTTATATACAACTATCATGACAGATTTTTGGAAAAATTTTTTGAAATTATTTTGGTGTCTGTCGGGCAGTGTATACTGGAACCACAGATTATGAAACAATTATAAAATCGGCGTAAAGGACAAACTAGTTTTATATTATTTACAAACTAAATAACTAACATCCGATATGGTCTAGTGGCTAGGATACCTGGCTTTCACCCAGGAGGCTCGGGTTCGATTCCCGGTATCGGAAATTTTTTTTTTAACCAATTTTGCATTATTACGATTTTTTTTATTGTAGTTTTATTTACAATTAAATTTCTATTCTAAAAGGATATAAATATAAAAAAAGATGTAGGTGATTTAAAAATAATCGATCGAAAATAACTACAAACAACGAATTTTTATATTATGTATTAAAACTCAGCTTAAAAATAGGTGTAAATCTTTTATATATTTTAATTATTTCGTTTTTTAAAGAAGAAATATTTATATATATTCTAATATATCTTTTATATTATTCTGAGTACCAGATATATTATATGTTTGCGATTTTTATATTTTAACAACAATTTATAAATATCCACTAGCGGTATTTATAACTGTTAAAATACGAAAAAAAGAGAACTTGAATTTTAAATTCGTTACGAGGATTGATATTCATTAAATACGTTTTCTTGACAAAATGGCGAATTATTTGTTATAAGAATGTTAAAAGATAGCATTTTATATTCGATGAATTTTCAAAAAATGATATTTTTTCGTTAAAATTACATAAAACAAATTAAATCCAACAAGAATAATAAAAAATATTGTTGGAAACATAATATTGTTTTTACTGTCCTGTAAATAATCATAAAAAAAATAAATCTCAAAAATTTTGTGATATCAAACTTCTTGCAATGGCACCGTCGAAATATTTTTAGACGGTGGCGATGATTTACAGAAGGTTTTTTTGTCATCAGATCATTCAGAAAGTCTATAAAGTTACTTCAAGTGTTTTTTTTGTTGTTGTCTATAGGCATCAAAGTGAGTAGTCGTTATACCGGGTGGCCAACTAAGAACTAAGAATGGACGCCGGCTGTATCTCAGAAACTACTTATCGTATATCTTTGGGAAAAAAATTCTAATAAGTAAATCGACCAAGAGAAATCTCTGGAAATTATTTTCAAGTTCGAAAAATGTCTGTTAGGGGGGTTTCTCTGATAGCCTATCAGAAAACAGGGGTTTTCTCAAAAATATGCAGGTGAACACGTATTTTAAATATTACTATTGTAATCATCCAGAAATTTGTAATTTTTGTTATATAGAGTATTTTGCTCTATCTCATAAAATAAAGCGGTGGGGGAAGTTTAAACTTTCTTTTATTAAAATAAGGATAACTTTGGTTTAGGTTACCCGATTTAAACAAACTAGGGCTCGTTTAAAAGAACTTTTCTTCCTTAATGATATCCAGTATAAATTTTGTTTCCATAATTTTTTTCGTGGTAGCTAGAGGGCGCTGTTTGACATCATAACATATCATAACAGATATTGCGCTTTTGCATAAAAAAATAAATAGGAGGCTATATTCCTGTTGGCACAGTTAAATAGAGCACAACATTTCCAAAAAATCAGCGCAAACCGCAACTTTCTATCTTCTCTCCAACGGAAGATATTAAGAAAATAAATCATATTAGGCTGTCGCCTAGGATTATAGGGTCTAAAAATTATAGTAGTGGGCTAGGAAACAAAAAGAGGTAAATTGGTTACCTCAAAATATCAAAACATACGTTTTAACTTCATTTTAATACCATTTAATTGTTATTTATCCATGTTCGTTCTTGATTCGACACCATAAATTAAAACCCATGCATATTGAATCCGATGACTAGGGCTCGTTTAAAAGAACTTTTCTTCCTTAAATGATCTCCAGTATAAATTTTGTTTCCATAATTTTTTTCGTGGTAGGTAGAAGGCGCTGTTTTTGACATCATAACAGATATTGCGCTTTTACATAAAAAATTTAAATAGGAGGCTATATTTCTCCTTGCACAGTTAAACAGAGCACAACATTTTCAAAATATCAGAGCAAACCGCAACTTTCTATTTAACTAGACAAATAACACCTGAGAGCAAATTGTGCCGATGTCACGAAACAGTGCCGTGGCACATATTTTTCTTAACCTAGATGTTTGAAGCAATATTTATATTTTTTGATAATTGTTTTGACTACGCCTATGGTGTATCATCCTAATTAATTGCGAAAAAAACGTATTAAAATGTTAACAAAAGGTACAAAACTGGTATCGACGTATAGCACATATCAAGTACATATAGATGTTAATTGAAATTGAAGATTAATTATCGAATTCAATAAGAAAACGCTAAAAAGTGGAGTGGACTGTTTATTTACCTATGAAACGTAACTCCTGGTTCTTTCTTATCGCTGCTGCTTTTACACTTGAAAGCTGAACAACTAATCACCATTGTAATAAAGTTTATACAAAGTTTACTACACACAAATTATTAAAAATCGCTAAAATTGTCGCTGGTGACCAAATGATGACTCATTGTCTGCCACCAAAAGAAAGGTCTCTAAGGTCACAAATTCTGCTGCAGCCCGTATAGGGGCGTAACATGTCCTTATATTCTTTAGTCATTGGGTCTTGGCAAATACGTTTAAATCAAATATAGGACGGCCTCCCCATAAGAGCAATGAGAGGATTTACGTTCCAGTATTGAAGGAGGATAGAAAATCGAGTCGAATGGTTTCAAGACATAGGTTCATCCTTGTTTAGTAAAACCTCCTACAACACAAGGATAGACTTATGTAGGAAATGCATTGAAATTCAATATAGGGACAGGAATTTAAGCGGTACCCTCCGTGTACTTTATTTTAAACGTATTTGGGTCTTGGTATAGGTACTTTCTGATATTGCCACTAGGTGCTATAATAATAGACTATTAATTTCAACTAGACACATGTAATAGGTACTTTCAAATATTGCCACTAGGGACTCTAATAAATATTAGAGGAAAGGTACCAAACCCCGGATAGTTCCCTAATTTCGGATATCATGGTATCTCCAAAGTCATCTATGTTGAGCGGCCGAAATCTCTGTAAAACTTCCAGGCGCTGCAGTAGTAATATGTCTATTTAAAAAATTTAGTTGTATCTCATCTATTAGCCGATCTGTGGTTTGTTTCGTGTATTTGAATTATTTGAGTTTATTTTTTTACTCCTTTTTGCAATTGTTTTTGTGGTGGTGTTTTGTTTAACTAGGACTTTAAATATACGAAAAGGATTAAAGGTGTGGATCCGGTGGCTGACCTTGAAGCCCATATTTGCTGTAATTGATCATCGATACTACGCAAGCGCACATCGTCGATGTTGTCAAATTGCAGTTTATTTTCGAATTATTTGCAGTTGAAAAATTTTTTTTTAATGTTAATCAATAATAATACAAATTCTATAATTAATTTTATAATTTCAGATTTATCTTGATATCCAAAATTAAGGTAAGAAGGATAATGAAGATTGTGAAATGAAAGTATTATGAATATATAAAATTGTAATAATAACATTTATTTATATATTTACATTAGAATTTTTTACGGATTTTTTCTTAATGGTTTTAAACTTATTAGAATTATTTTATTTCTTTCAAGTTATTTAATTTCTAGTTATTTACAGGCAACAATAGTTTTGATTATATGTATTGATATGTTTTGAAATACTACCATGACGAGTCTTATAAAACAATACACCTCAATGGGAGATATAGAGGTAACATTTTACCTATAATGTTACTAATATAATATACTTTGATTATAATGTTTGTATCATAATTTCTTAAAAATATCAAGTCAGTGGATTAATAGCAATTTTACGAAGAGTGTGTTGATAAGACTAAAATAAGCTTTATGTTTAATCTTTTTCTCGTTAGAAGGAGATGGTTTGTGTCGTAGAATACACTACTTATATTCTTTTCTTAATTTACTGTAATTTCTTGTATCCTATAATGCCAAACCTTGACAATATGGTGAAGGTTGAGTTTTGATCTTATTATTTTTATAAAAGGTTTTATACCTGTGTTTATACAAGACCAACTTAAGATTAGTTTGTGATTTATATTAAAGATCTTTCTTATAATATTTGTTATGTCTTAATCTTAATACTATATTATGCTTTGTCTGGAAAATAAATGTTAAAATATCTTAATTTTGTATATCCTATTCCATCCTTCCATTAGGAAAAATATGGTTTATAAATTATATTATGCTAAGAAAATCACATAAATTAGGTGTAAGAATAGAGAAATCTTAAGGTAACAGAAAAATTAATGCAATATATGTATAAGCAGAATTAAACAAGGTAACTGTAAATGTTGCTGAAGCTGATTCTACAATTTTAATTACGGAGGCTAAAAGGCCTTTTAAGGCCTCCGTAGTTTTGATGGAATGTTAAAAAAAACCTATTATGAACATGACATGGAGCTACAGCCTACAGCATTTAAAAATCAATAAAAAGAAAAAACTAGGTCACATCCCTTTTAATTTCCCGAATTTTTAATAAAGCACTTTTGAAACGTAGCATAATAATCTAGAGCAATTAGATTAATTATAGGAATCTAGAGTTTTATTTCTATTTAATTTTATTGACTATGAAAATACATAATAAGCGTTCACGTTTCACGTGTTGTGCGAAATATTAAAATAATAATATAAATAATATACCGGCGTACTGTGATTGAAAAAATAGCGTCAGCGATGATTATGAAATGAAGATCGCTGTCATTTTATATGGAAAATGTCCTCAATCGTCATTTCCCAGCCAACTGGACGACGTTTTTCGATCATACGGTATATATTGACAAAAAAATATTGAAAAGCACATATTTGTTTTCTACTGAAAATAATTCCAAAATAACTTGCAATCTGGCA